GGTGCCACACTTTAGAAAAAATGTAGACAAATTGGAGGAAGTCAAGAGGAGAATAACAAAAATGAGAAAAAGTTTAGAAAATCCGACCTATGAGGAAAGGTTAAAAACACTGGCTATGTTCAGTCTTGAGAAAAGAAGATTGAAGGGAGAACCTGATAACATTATTCAGATACATCAAGTGATAGTATAAAGATCAATTTTTCTCCATATCCATTGAAAGTAGGACAAGAAGTAATGGACTTAAACTGCAGCAAGGGAAATTTAAGTTAGATATTAGGAAAAACTTCCAAACTACAAGGCTAATTAAGCTCTGGAAAAGGCTTCCAAGGGAAGTTGTGGAATCTTCATCTTCGGAGGTTTAGTAGGTGGGACAAACACTTGTTGTCAAGGATGGTCTAGATATACTTGGTCTGGCCCCTCAGCAAAGGGGGTTGGACTTGATGATCTCTCAGGGTCTCTTCCAGCCCTACATTTCTATGATTTCCTAGCTTCTGGGAAGGCCCACCTCCTTCAAACTCTATCTGCAGAGTCTTTCCCTGTGTTAGCCTGTCTCCCTAACAACTTCTGACAATTGGCCTCTCTTCCCCTGAGAAGCTTTTAACAACTGTTTAGTGTTCTCTTGATCCCCAGGCTGACATACATACAAGGCTTGTAACTTGTTGGAGACACAATTTTCCCAATTGTCTTTTGTGTTTGTGCCTGGATGGTCTTATGTGGGAAGCCATTGTGTTGCCTTCCCTGTTTGTTCTTCCCACAGCCTCTAGATCAGTGCATTCATACAGGAAAGTCTTAACCCAGTATACAATAACTTCCCCTCATTGACAAGGTCACATACAACGTTGTTAAAATTGTTACTCCTTGGTGTTCTTAGATTGTTTCATGGCATTTCCACGTCTGTCACAATTTTGAGGTTAAATCCCATCATCCATCTCAAAGAGGTTATAATTCCTGAAGTTGAGTCTAGAATTGTTTCCTCCACTCTATTACAAATTTCTGTTAGGCCCTGCTTGGTCTAGAAAACTCTGGCATTGCAGCCACCGGTTGTTTAAACTTAAATGTAACTTTTTCCACCATGTCATGGAGGGTTAGATGATATGGTTGTAAAAATGCTGCTGAACGGTTAACATTGTTTCATAATTATCAGTTCGCCTGTTGTTCAGTGCTATTCTGCTGCATAATTCAGGTGTAATGTAGAAAACTTTTTGGCTGGGGAGAAAAAAAAGGAACTTGTGAAATTCAGGCCTGGCTGTAACATTATGGAACAAAACAAATGCATTACTGAGAAAGAGAACTGTATTTAATACAATTTAGATCTTAACTAATATAATTGACTTGCCAGTTCTCAACTAGAATGGTGAAATTTGGTACTATCCTAATTTATCATATGATGCTAAATAGGAGGAGAAATCCCAAATCCAAATACTGACCTTTCCATCAGAAAAAAACGGACACATTTTGTTTTAATCACTGAAGTGCCTTTTTGAGATTGTATCAGATTTCAAGACTGTTTTTCTATATGGGTCATTGTTTGAAAACTTTGCAGTGATGGTCTAAGGGCAGCTTACAGGAACACCTTATAAAAAAGGTCTAGAGAACATGACTGATGAGGGAAGATTTGAAAAAAATTGGGTTTGTTTAGTCTGGAAAAGAGAAGACAGAGAGGGGACATAACAGTTTTCATGTACATAAAAGTTTTCATGTACATAAAAGGTTGTTAAAAGGAGGAGGGAGAAAAATTCTTCTTCTTAACCTCTGAGGATAGGACAAGAAGCAATGGGCTTAAATTGCAGCCAGGGAGGTTTAGGTTGGACATTAGGAAAAATTTCCTAACTGTCAGGATCTATCTGTCAGGGTGCTTACGCACTGGAATAAATTGCCTAGTGAAGTTGTGGAATCTCCATCATCGGAGATTTTTAAGAGCAGGTTAGACAAACACCTGTCAGGGATGGTCTAGAGATAATACTTGGTCCTGCCATGAGTGCAGGGGACTGGACTAGATGACCTCTTCAGGTCCCTTCCAGTTCTATGATTCTATGAAAATTGTCACATAACTGAAAGAAAGGTTGGAATAATTTCTTTGCTTCTGATGGCATTACCCACTCAACAGTTACTGCTAATTTATTCCTGTCTCAGATTTAACTCTGTGGTCTTTGGTTTATTGAAAATACATCTGAAAAGCAAATGGCATAAAGAACAGTGCTCAAAATGGCAGGTATTCTTACAAAGCACATGAGGAAAGAGCTCTAAATCTGTTTACCTCCTCTCAGAGCCATTTCAAACTGCACAAATAAAACACTGTTGTACAGTCAGTATAGTCAGGCAAAGTAAAAACGTTTCTAGCTGAGGGTACTTCAATTTGCTGAGTACTCTTGTGTTTCCACTGAGTTATGTGAGAATATTTTTTGTTTAAATGTGAAATAGATCCAAGAGCCATGTGTGAAGGTATTTTGTTAGGAAGGATGGTCCAGTGGTTAGGACACTAGTCTAAAACCTGGGAGGCCTAGGTTCAATTCTCTGCTCTGCCACAGATTTTCTGTGTGATCTTGGGAAAGTCATTTACCTTCTCTGTGTCTCAGTTCTCCATCTGTAAAATGGGGATAATAGCACTCCCCCCCACCCCCACCCCAGCTCACTGGGGTAGTGTGAAGATTAATATATTAAATAATGTGAAGTGCTCTGAAGTCTGTTGATGAAAAATGATGTATAAGAGCTGGGCATAATTATTATTATCATTTGTTATCATGGGCGGCAAGTATAATAGACCAGGGAAGATTCTGCCTTTCCTGGCTGCAGCCGCTGCTGTGGGATGCCGGGCTGGGACCGGCCGGGGCGTCTGCACTGGGGCGACTCTGGGGCAGCCCAGCCCCGGGCCCACTGGGACTGCTCGGGTTGGATGCCAGCTTGGGCTGCCCCAGGGTTTTTGTGGCGGCGGGGGTGGGGTAGAGGTAGGTGGCTTGGGGTTCTGGCAGCCTGGGGCTTCTCTCTTCCTTTTAAGAGCCTGATGATAGTAAATACATTTCTTAATATAAAACATCAATGCCAGAATCAGAAACGGCACAGGATTCTGTAACAGAATATTCGTCCATGGAAAATCAGTTTGTAAAAACCCACAAATTAAGAAAGATTATCTTGAAGACAGGTTTTAAATATTTTCAGTCTCTTAATGCTCAAATTGGCTAAACAAGGGAGACTGAGCACTTCACCAGCATACAGATGTGTTGCAAAATGATACCTGCAGTATGTAAATGCAGTTAAACAGCATAGCGTTTTTCACATCCAAGCGAAATTGCAGCAGAATCTTTAAGAAATAACAAAGAATGGGGAAAATTACACTTGTATAGGAGGCACAATTTATCTTTAAGAAACAGAAAACTGTAATCCACTCCAGAGGATGAAGTCAATTTTTATTAATAGTTTTTGAGGTCAGAAAGCACCATTATGACTATCTAGGCTGACTTTCTGCATCAATCCTGTAATTTCTGGTTGAACTAGAGTGTTCCTTTAGAAAGGCATCCATTCTTGATTTTAAAGACTTCAAGTGACAGAGTTCCTCTGATGGTCTATTATCTTCATTGTTAAAAAATTGCACCTTGTTTCTAGTCTGAATTTGTCTGGCCTCCGCCTCCAGTTTTTGGATCTTATTATGCCCTTTTCTGCTAGATTCATGGAGCCCTTACCTATCAAAAATATTCTCCCCATATAGGTACCTATAGACTGTGATCAAGTTACCTGTTAACCTGCTCTTGGATAAACTAAAATATTTATGACAGGTTTCAGAGTAGCAGCCGTGTTAGTCTGTATCCGCAAAAAGAACAGGAGTACTTGTGGCACCTTAGAGACTAACAAATTTA